ACCACAGAACACGGACTGCTCTGCTCATCCCAAGGCAATGCTTTAAAATTCAAAGAAAGGAAAATCAGGACAGAATGGCTCTTTTACACGTTTCAGAAACACCAAAGAGGCCATTACACCAAGGTCAGGAAGACCTTGGTCAGCACAGGCCAAAGCTTGCCCATGAAAAATGATTAGAACCAGTGAAGGCAGAGCCTGTACCTTCTGGTCATGAATAATAAACAGGAGCAAAGAGGCCATGAGGGTCCTGCGGAGAAAAGCAGGAGGTAGTGGAAACAGGGGTCAGCCCAAGGCCAAAGAAAACATGCCAATAGGTCTCAGCCAGGCGACCAGGCTGGTCTTTCTTCTCTCACCGACTCTTCTCAGAAATTCTTGCTCCTTCACACTCGTTTCCAGGAATATATTTTTATGAACACTCAAGAGTGGGCTCCTGAAAGCTCTCCACAGCTGCCTAATCAGGCATGGAGCCTTTCCAGTGTCCCCTGGGGCAAAGAAGGAGCCGGAGGCCCTGAAATGCAGAGCAACACCTCAGCAGTCTCTTAACCATCTCCTTTCAGATCCTCCTCCTCCTAAAAGCAGGCGAGAGCAAAAGGCTGCTGCCAGGAGATGCACATCCTTGCCTCATTTCTTATTAAGCCTTAATCCTTGCCTGCCCTCAAGGAGTGCAGAATTGAGCAGGACAGTCAAGGCGCTGGCACCCATCTCAGGAAGTGGCATCCAGTTTGGTGAGGCCTCTGCCAGCATCCCCAGTCTCAGAAGAAGATGGGCAGGGGCCCACTCAGAAGCAAACTCCAGTTTCTATTAGACTGCACAATACAATGGTTTCTGCCAACCACCCCTCTCTCCATATGACACTGTTTCCCAGACATCCAGGCTGGCCTCACTCCATCCCACAAAGAGAAGATTTAAGCTGACACTGGTGTATGACCAAGTGAGGTGTAGACCAAGTTCATCATATACTAGTCTGTATACTATACTAGTACTACCTCCTCAACTCTCTTTCTAGGAATCCAATTTCCTCCAAAAATTGGTTCAAAGGCCACCTGTTACCCAAAGTCTTCCTGATTCCCCCGCTGCTGGTGTCCTTCCCTCCAAAGCCACCTAGCTACATTTTCTATGTAGTTTGTACATTCCTAGGAATGTGTGTCTTCCCCATAGACTGTCAGCTCCCTGAGGGCAAAGAAGACTTCACTTTTGGACAAAAGGATCTTGGTGGACTTTGTGACTGGTTGCTGTCTGTCCTTTGTTCTCAAAGAGGACCATGACATCAGGGAGATGATGCATGACATGCAAGTAAATTGTATTTAAGTGAGGGAGGACTGTGCAAAGTCACCAGCCTCACTTTCTCCTCCTGAGCCATCTGGGTCCAGTGGCCAGTTGTAGATTGGGACAACTGGAGACGACCGGGATGCAGTGGGGATCCTTGGCTTTTCCAAGCTAAGGTCTTTAACGAGTCTCAGTTTGACTGAGGCATCGCCCAGTCAGTGATTAAGGCTTAATAAGAAATGAGGCAAAGAACAGCCTCTTTAAAAACAAAAACAAAAACAAAAACAAAAGCAAAAACAAAACCCAACAACAAGAAGATAGATCTGGGAGGGGAAGACCCTCAGGGCTTCTAGCCAAAACTGGTGACTGGTAAATCTGTGAAGAGACCCCTCTTGTGGTTAAGCCTCTAGGTGATCTCACTTTGGGGTAACAAAGGTTAGTCTGGTCGCTGACTACATATGACTACAACCTTTGACAGCACCGCCTTGGGGTCACCCTCACCTCCCACCTCCAATCTGGTGCCGCATCTGGTCAGTTCTGTCCACCTGAAAGTGGCCTAAAGAGGCAACAGGCTGGGTGAAGTAACTTCATGTTGCTTATTCCCTTAAGCTAGCAGCACGTATGCGGAGCCAGAGCTTTAACTCAGACTGAATCAAGCAATTTTAGAAGGACATTTAAACCCTGACTCAGGATGTCTGTGTTACTCAAAAAAACATAGCCTCCATATGTTTTTACATATAGCATGAGAAAGGAAGTTGTAAATACAGTAAGACAAGAGAAGTAACAAAGTGTCCACTGGAATTATAGTCCCAGGATATCTGTGTTTCCCCTACATAACATATGTCCGTAAGATATCAAGATAAGAAAAGTCCCACTATTCAAGACAGCATCTGGTCCCAGGCATCCTGTCCTTCATGATCACAGACAGGAAGAATGCTGGTCAGTTTCATCTGGTCCTGTAGTTGCTGACACAGGAAGGGGTTCAGGTTTTTATTCCTTATTGGGGCTCAATTGATCTTAAATGATTACCAGTTCTAACATCCACCCCCTCATTATCCAGGCCCTCATCACCTCTCATCTACAAGTAATGTATCTAGATCTACCTAGATGATTATTTATTTATTAAAATAAATAAAAATATGATAAGACATAGATAATGTTAATTCAACAGACCTAGAAAATCACAAATTAACATCTATGTTTTAACATATTTTTATTTATTTTAATAAATATTTTACAATTCTAATTACATCTACATCTGCCCCAATCCATTCTCCATATCTGCCAAAGTGAGATTTTTAAAGCTCAGATCTGAATACAAATATAAGGGTGAGATTGAATTAAATCAATCAGTCACCCCACCTGGCCCCAGAATCCAGGATTAATCCCCTGGCCAGGATCCCTTTATGAAGTAGGAACATCTCCAATGAATCAATCCATCAGTTAGAGGCATTTGGATAGGTGCAGCAGTTAGTAGGTTTAGCTTGGAGAGGAGATTCCTGGCAAGCCCTAATGAGCAGTGAGTTTGCACTTCCACTGGCCAGTGTCCCTCCTGGGAGGGGTGGAAGAACGGCCCCGCCCCCCATGCCCAACATTCCATCCCCCACTCCTGCAATGTTCTCCTCCTCCCCTCTGACTCACAAAGGGCCTGATTTCCTTCAGGACTCAGGGAACCTTTCCAGATCCCCCTCCCCACAAACTACTTGGATTTATTTCACATTTGTTCTGCATAGCTTATAGGGGCCCACGGCATCTCTTCCATGAGGCAGGGAGCAGTTCATTTCTGACCTTGTATTGCCAGTGCTTGGCCCACAGTAGCACTTAATAAGTGCTCATTGGCTGACTGATCCTATGGTCCAGCCACTCATCCCCAAGAGTTAGGGGAAGAGTGTGGTGCCAGGAGAGACCAGACTCAGTCTCCCCATCCCTGGGAGCTGGGAGAGGGAGGAGAGGGAACATATGCTTATAGAGCACATACTACGGCCAGGAGCAAGACTTCACAAGTGTCACTTCATTTGATCCTCACAGTGACCTACCTAAGCAGCTTCTTAAGAGAAAAAAGACTGCTTTGCTTGGAGCCTGCTTGTGGCTGGTGTTTCCTGGATGTTATCACACATGGGGGTAGGCAGGTGGCTTGGGGGATAGAGCGCCAGGCCTGTAGACAGGAAGACCTGAGTTCAAGCAAATCCAGCCTCAGACACTTGCTGTTGTGTGACCCTGGGCAAATCACTTCACCCTGTTTGCCTCAGTTTCCTCATCTGCAAAATGAGCTGGAGAAGCACATGGTCAACCACTTCAGGATCTGCCAAGAAAACCCCAAATGGGGTCACAGAGAGTCTGACACAACAACAAAAACCGTGCATTGGTTAATTTCCCAGTTTAACTTTCACTTGCCTTAGAGGTCCAGGGATTTGTGAACTGGATCTGAAAGGGTCATAGATCATAATGGCTAGCATTTAGATAGAGCTCTAAAGTTTGCAAAGCAAACTCGATTTAATTTTCGCCACAGCCCTGGGGAGTATAATTATCCATGTGTTACAAATGAGGAGACTGAGGCACAAAGAAGGTTCCCACAGAGCTAGGAGTGTGGAATTTACCCCCAGGTCTTCCCAACACCAGGTCCAGTGCTCACCCCAAAGACAAGGAGTTGCAAAAATGTGCCCAAAGCAATGGGAAGTAGAGGGGCGGTTGCATAGTTGGTCCACATGCACTTACTAGGCACTGGGCTAGGCACCGAGACAGGCCAAACCAGCCCCTGCCCTCAGACAGTAGTTGAGGACGCTCCGGATGTCTATAACTGCTTGGCATCTGTCTACAGTGTACCTTTTCTGTCCATTCCTACATGAGTTGTTCCACTGATTCAAAGGAAGCTCCCTGAGGGTAGGCGTTGTTTTCATTCTCTGTCTTTGGATCTGGCAAGCTACTGGACCTCCCTTGACCTCAGTTTCCTTATCTGTTAAAAGGAGTTAGACTAGAGGCTCTCTGAAGTCCTGGGTCCCAGAGCTCAGCCCAGTGCATGTCCACAGTAAGGGCAGATTGATCAATATTAACACATCATTATTCATAGTTGGGTTGGAATCCTGGCTTTTGACCTCATTCCCTATCTGTGTGACCTAGCATATGTCACTTGACCACCCTGGGCCTCAGTTTCCCTCTCTGTAAAGGGGGTTAACCTAATGCTCACGGTCTGTGAGCTCCTTGGGGGCAGGGTCTTGTATGGACTGACGGCACTTCAGGCCCCCTTTTCACACGGTTGTCATGGATCCTTCCTTCTGCTCGCCTCCCCCCACCTCCCCTCTTTCAGGTAGTGTGTTGCCATTCTGCCTGGCCCATCCCCCACACCCAACTAGCCCGGCAAGGGGGCAAACTTCGAATTATCGAGGGTGGGGCCGCAGGGGCCCCAAAACTGGATCCTGACTTAGGACAACGGGGTGCCAGGCCCATCACTCAGGACCTGGGGTGCCACCTGACCACCCTCGTGGGTCACTCGGGTACAGACACTGGGATACCAAGCGACCTAAGACCGAGCCCGGGAGCCTAACACGTTGTACACTTCGCGGCCGGAGCAAGGCCTCGGGACGTTCTGCGCATGTCCCCAAGTGTTCTCTGAGAGGGGGCAACATACGCAAAGGGAGAACAGCGCCATTCTGCGCAAGTCCTGCGGAATGATGGGAGGAGCCCCGTGGCTGACACGTGACCCGAGCGAGCCCTTAGGCCCCGCCCCCTGGGGCCGCTCAGGCCCCACCCCTTAGAAACGTGCCACCGCCCAAGGATGGCGTAGTTCAGGTCCGAGGATCGACCCGAGGGCGTGTAGCTTGTTCACTGGCTTCCTAGCTGGGCCGGCGGCGGACCGGCAGCCCAAGCTGGGGCAGGCCATGAAGCTGACCCGGAAAATGGTGCTGTCCCGGGCCAAGGCCTCTGAGCTGGAGAGCGTGAGGAAACTAAACTGCTGGTGAGGGGGCGGGCCAGAAGGAGAGCACAGCGCATGCGTCCCTTCCCTCCCCCGCCTGTCTCTCTTCCAGGGAGTAGGCAGAACTGCGCGTGCGCTTCGCCATTAGCCGGGGGTGGGGGGAAAGAGAATAGGCGGGCCTGTGGAGCCCTGGTACCTCTGGGTTAGGGTCAGCATGTGCAGGATTACCCCGCCCCCAGCCCTAGGGTGGGGCAATGCCCCCCTCCATGGAGGACCTGGGTTCAAATGCTACCAGAGACAGTTACCAGTAGTGTGACCCTGGGCAAGTCATGTCACCTGTCTGCCTCAGTTTCGTCGTCTGTAAATTGGAGATAATAATGACCACACCTACCTTCCAGGGGTGTCATGAGGATCAAATAAATCCTTGTAAAGTGCTTAGCACAGGGCCTGGCACAGCCATTATCATGGATCATGGAGCCAACTCATGGTTACACATTCTGCCCAGGTCACTTGACCATGCCAGTGTCCATCGCCCGGTACTGATCAGGGCAGAGGCCACTGGGCCAGGCTCTGCGGCCCGACCCACCAGGGTCACACTAGTGGACAATGCCTTCCTGGCATTAGGGGGAGAGCTTGGAGCACTCCGCCTTCTCTGTTTTCTGAGAGTCACCTGGCTGCCAGGCTTCCTCCTCTGCGGGGCGGTGGGGGGGGGGTGTTCTCCTTGTGCCATGGAGGCTCCTTCTGGGGTTTTTGGGTCAGCCGGGCCATGTTTCTCGGGAATATTTAGGGGGATTTAAAGTATTGTTTTTGGCTGCTTTTGAAAAAACTCCATGTTTGTCTTTGTTATTGTTTTCAGGGGCAGCCGCCTCACCGATGTAAGTGCTGATGTTGTCTGAGTGGGCCCTTTCATTAGGAGGTGATGGAGGCTTTTCTCCAGGGTGGGTGGGCACATCTTTCATCTGTGACACTGTAGTCCAGCCCAAGAGGGGCCCCCTCCCCGGCCTTCCCGATGGAATCTCCTTTGTGTATACAAGTCGTCTCCTCCCTTCAGTGGGGCCTCTGACCATCAGCAGCCCCGGGGTCCAACTGGCTACCCCAGCTTCCCCAGGGGGTCTTCCTCCTTCTGGGTCAAGCCCAGGTAGGGAGGGCAGGACAGAGTGACCATGAGGCCCCACCCAGCTGAGGGCCCTGTCTGGCTGGTCAGTAAGGAAAGGGAAGAGCGCCCTTGGGGGCAGGTCCTCTTCATCAGCCTTCTTTGTGCTCCCAGATTTCCATCTGTCGAAGTTTGCCCAGCATCGAAGTGATCACACTCAGGTAGGTGCCGGAGCATCCTCTGCCAGGGGGCCTGGGCTTCTAGACACTGCTGGCCCCCCAGCTCACACACGCATGTATAAACATATGCCCCCGACATGGCCTCCCCACCCATGTACACACCAGACAGACACACACACATACACACTTATGTACAAACATATACCTCTCCCACATGACCACCCCCTCCATGTACACACCAGACAGACAGACAGACACACACACACACACGTACAAACATATACCTCTCCCACGTGACCACTCCCTCCATGTACACACCAGACACACACACACACACACACACACACACACACACACACACGTACAAACATATACCTCTCCCACATGGCCACCCCCTCCATGTACACACCAGACAGGCAGACAGACAGACAGACGCACAGACACACACACACACGCATATGCGTACATACATATATACACACCAGACACACACACACTTACGTACAAACATATACCTCTCCCACATGACCACCCCCTCCATGTACACGCCAGACAGACACACGCTTACATGTTCAGGTAGCATCTCTTGGCCCTTTCCAGGGGCCTCAGCCTCAGTTTCTGTCAGTTGCCTTCTTCAGCCTGGCCTTGGTCTGAGAAAGGCCATTGGGTTTGTCCATTAAGGGATGATTGGTCACTTTGGAGAGGGCAGTTTTAGTTGGTAATGACCTCAGGAGTCAGGTTACAAAGAAGGTGAGTTGAGGTGGAGGCAGCCTGCGAGTGTAGGTAGCTTTTTCTAGGAGTTTGCCCAAGAAAGAGGAAAGATGTAGAGGAATAATTTGTTGAGGGGGCTGGCCAGGCCTGGTGAGGATGGGGGGAGGGTCCCCAGCATGGTCTTGAGACAGCCCTGGGAAGTGGGGGTGGGAAGAAGCGCCTGCTTCCAGATCCCTGTAAAGTGAATGGATGATGACCAGAAGGGCAAGGTGAGAGAGCAGGTGAAGCTTCGGGGGGGGGCACGATCTGGGAGTGGGGCACCTGGACATATCTGGTCCAGAGGTGGCCAAGCTGGTCCGGGCTCCCAGGGGACTAGACCATCAGGTTTGGGGAGCTAGGTTTGGTCCCTTTGCTTCTTTGGACCTCCAGAGCTAGGCTAGCTTGGCCCCCTGCAGCTGTAGGAGACCCTGGTCACTAGGGACCACCCACACACATAGAGAACCTCCTCCTCTCCAGCCTCCTTGTGGCTGTCCCAGCATCCCTCACTCTCCCTCACCTGCCAGGGCCAGAGCCTCCAAACCTCACTGGACCACCCCTCTCCCCCTCCTCCACTCTCTAAGTCATCTTGTACCTTGCCCTACCCCAGGATCCCCCATCTCGGCTTGTCTAATTGAGCCTGAGGGAGGGTGAGGGCTAGCCTGTTAGGATTTGGCCTGGGTCAGAATGGGTTCTGGGTTACCCTTCCTGAAGGATCCCTGAGCTTTTAAAGAAATAACCCTAACCTGGTGGTAGGAGTCCTCGCACCTGTAGGTGTGGCCCACGTGGCCCCAGGAAGGCCACAACGGGAGCCCACGAGCGACTCCCACAATCTCCATAGAAGTCAGTCAGCACCAACTAGGCCCCGGCTGGCCGGTGACCCTCGCAAAAAGGCCACGGGCTCCCAGGCTGATGGATCTCAGCACGGCCAGTGTGCCGGTCCAGCTTCTGGCCTGGGTGACCCGGGGGGAAGGGAGGAAAAGGGATTCCTGGGGAGCAGGAAGAAGTCAGTGGCCCTGGAGGAAAGTGCCAGGCTGGGCTGGCCTGAGCCTGGGGTCCAGCTGGGGGGCTGGGGTGAGGGCAAGAGGCCCTTCGGGGGCCTCCCACCAGCCCCTTCCTCCACGCAGTGTCAATAGCATCTCCAGCCTGGAGCCCATGAGCCACTGCCTGACCCTGAGTGAGCTCTATGTGCGGAAGAACAGCATCTCCAGCCTGGGCGAGCTCTTCTACCTGAAGGGCCTGCCCCGCCTGAAGGTCCTGTGGCTAGCGGAAAACCCCTGCTGTGGCCCCAACCCGCGACACTACCGCATGACCGTGCTCCGCAACCTGCCTGGCCTGCATAAGCTGGACAACCAGAGTACGTGCGTAGGGGGGAGGAGGGGCGGCCCTCGGTGCCTCAGTTGTGTGCGACTTTCTGTGGCCCCATTGAGCGCTGTGCCATTTGACAGATGAGGAAACTGAGGCCAGCAGGGTGAAGTGACTTGCCTAGTGTCACGCAGTAAGTGTCTGAGGCCGGGTTTGAACTCAGGTCTTCCTGCTTCCCTCTATCCACAGCACCTGCTAGCTGCCCAGAGAAGGGAAGGGGCTTGCTCAGGGTCACCCCACGCTTTGTCTGCCCTGACCCCAGTCTCTAGGAGCGAGTCACCTGGCAGCAGGGGCTGTGCCTTCCACCCTGGAGACCTTCCCTTGGCAGGCAGCAGCCCTGCTGTGACCTGGGCCTCAGTTTCCTCATCTGGAAAATGGGGGTAGGGGAACTGGGTGGCCTTTGGGGTCCCTTCCAGCTCTGGTTTGAGCTCCAAGGATCAGTAGCCTCCCATCCCTGCCCCAGCCCACCACTGTGTGTCTTAGTGACGAGCTTCATCGAGCTTTGTGGGAGAATCTGGGAGTTTGCACAAACCTCAGTTATGCCTGGAAGGCAGGAGATGGGCCTCAAAGCCTCCTGTGTTCTGGGGGACAGGGTGGGGGCTCCTCTTGATTCATGTGCAGGCACCCACCCTGGCTTCTGAGAGCTCCGGGCGCACCAGGCTCTTCGTGCTTGAGGAGGGTCCCACCCAGAGGGGAGGATGCCCACGTCTGCGCCACGGCTCCAGCAGCATCAGGGCAGAAGTCTTGGGCCCGGGGGAGGTGGGAAGTCTAAATGTGCCCCACCCTTTGATTCAGGGGAGACCCCCATGGGGGTCGTGGCCCCCTTTGTCCGGAGCCTTCCAGGAGGCCCTTCCCAAGGCTGCGGCCTTTGTTCTTTGGGTGGGGGCAGCCCATGTCCCCCAGTCATGGCTGCTCAGGTGCCTTGCTTCTTCCTGCCCTTGGGTCACCACCAGCCACATACTGGTCCTGAAAGAATATTAGACTAAGCCAGGTGTGCCTGGGCCAGCTCAGGACCCCTCCAGGGACATGATGGCAGGGTCTGCCCAAAGAACGTTGCACCAGTGTTGGGATGACCAGGCTGGGCCGTGATCCCCAGGCAAGGGGGGAGGGGCGGGTCACTGTTCTGGGGAGGGCATATCTGAGTCCGACCTTAATTTAAATGATGTCCGTGCCTGGGAGGTGACGGCTCTGGGGACAGTGGGTCTCTGCTGTCCCCACAGCCGTCACTGAAGAAGAGCTGTCCCAGGCCTTGATTGAGGGTGAGGAGATCACGGCCGCTCCAGCGAGGCAGGCGTCTGACCACAGTCATCCTGAGCTCTCCTGTGAGCTGAGCACTGTCGACTCCTCTGCAGACACGGAGAGCGACCTGCTGCGTGACAGCATGGAGAAAACCAAGTGAGCCTTCACCTTGGGCCAGGCACCCGTGGGGTTGTGCGCCAGGCACAGCGCTCAGGGCAGGGGACAGAGGGGCCTGCGATGTCAGTAGTGTGGGACTCTCCATGGGGTTTCCTGGGCAAGGAACCTCCCACCACCCGGGCAGGTGGGCTCCTTCTCTGCATCCTCAAGCCCTGAAGATGCCTTCTGGCCCCACCTCCCCTCGGTGCCTCTCTCTCCAGGCACACTTAGCTGCTGGCCAGGGGGATTGGGATGGGGGAAGGTGGGACCTGGAAGAGAAGGGCCCAAGTAGCAGAGAAAGCATGCCAGCAGGGACCAGAGCCAGGGCAAAGGCCTGGAGGCAGGAGGGAAGGGCTCTGAGGGCGGAGCTCGAGGGAACCTTGTCTCACCTCAGCACCTCCAGACTGACCCCTGCTCCCACGCCTTCCGTTTTCTCTCTGTCCAGCAAAATCCGGGAGCAGTTGGGCATGAGGCCTCTCCCCAGAGATCGGTTTTCCTCCTTCACCTCGAGAGCATCAGTCAGTAACCGAAAGAAGAGGGTGAGTATGCCTGGGAGCGCTCTCCCATGTACCCAGTGCAAGGACCAGCCTGTGGGAGCCCCAGGGCTCCCCACTTTTCCAGAGGCTGGACTTCTGGCAGCGCCCCCTGAAGTGAGTGAGAAAGCGTCTGGGTTTGCCAGGGCCACTAGGCCTCATGAGCATTAGTGGAAGACCCTAGCGTGGGACGGGGCCACGCTGTGCCTCCACACGCCCTGAAAAGGGATGGCGGGCAGGGAGGGGGGCATTGTAGAAAGGTTTTCTCCAAAGAGTTAAGAAGAGTTGGTTCTCAAAGGGGTTAATGTATGAGAACTGTCCCGGTAACGAGAGACAGAGCAGCTATCATTCCTCGGCCTGATGGTAAATGAGGTGTGAGGGGTCATCTCATGACCTTTTACTGTGTGCTGCCAGGCCCGGGGGTCCTTAGGGTTGTCTTGGGTCCTGTGGCTTTGGGAACGTGGCTTGGCTCCCTGGCCGTCTGGCTGCCGGTCACCCGAAGCTCCAGAGCTACCTTCCTAGAGGCTGGCCGAGGCCAGTCAGTTGATCAGCATTTATCAGCTACCTACTGTGTGCTATACCTAGAGCTGTGAGGGAGGCTCCTGGCTCCAGTCACCTGACTTCTCTGGCTGAGTCTCTTTACCCACCACTGTCTCTGCAGGTCTAGAAGCACCTCCATGTTGGTTTTGCCTTCATTGGTGCAGATTACCACCCATTCTGGGAGGGTGGGGAGTTGTCCCTGCAGGGCTTTGGGTGTGCCTGTTAACTCCTGTTCCTGGAAGTCTTTTAGACAGGTGTCCTGAGCACCCCTGAGCTGGGAGGAGGCAGGCTGGATAGGCTGAGCCCTCCCTGCTCCCACCCCCAGCTCACCCCTTGGTTGTCAAGCTGGTGGCTAACTTCAGGAGCAGTGAAATCAGGTCATGAGTAGTCATTGGCAGCAGATAGAGTTCCGGCCCTGGGGTCAGAGAACCTGAGTTCAAATCTGGCCTCAGACACTTGACACTGGGCAAGTCACTTGACCCCAATTGCCTCACCAAAAAGCAAAAAAAGAAAAAAGAGTAGTCGTTGGCAGTGTTCTTCCTTATGGTGGTGAGAGGGGATGGAGAAAGGGGACCCGCTTCCCCTCCCCCCATCCTGTGTGCATCTTCTTCCTACAGGACAGTGGTTTGTGTGGGTGCTGGGCTCAGAATTAGAGGGAGGGAATGATGTTTTTGGTTCCACAGAACAACATCCTGAGTGCTGTCCTGCTGCTTCTGAAGGAACTGGACACTAAGGAGCTGGACGTTGTCCAGCAGGCAGTTGGCCACCGACTCCAGGCCCTTCGGAAACCAGAGCTGCCTGAGGAACACTAGGGCCTTGGCCCACTGTGTCCGCCTGCAGGTCATCCGCTACAGCCTGACCCCAGCCGAGTGCTTTCTTGGACAGACCTGTGCGGGGAAGCCTTTGGCCTATGGTCAGCCCCCGCAGTCTGTCACATGGCTGCTCCCCACCTGGGTGGCCAGCGCACCAGGGGAACAGGCTGCCGTGGGCAGAGAGAAGAGGCTCTGGGTCTGTCCAAGGCCACGTTCTCAGAGCTCACTCTAGTATGTGACTGTTTGGCATCTGCACCAATGTAGTGGCCAGGCTTTGTGAAAAGCTCTCGCTTTTAGATCTTAGCTTTCCCATTGGGTGACAAGGGATTCATCTCGGGGCAGTGCCCTCAAAGGCCATTTCTTTATAAAGGTTTTCCCCGAAGTGCAGTCTTCCAAGTAGATGTTTTCTAAATGACAAGACTTGTTTCCAAGTGTCCTTGCCTGGAGAGATCCGCGGAAAGGCGCCCTCAGAGCCAAGCTTCCAGGGAGAATTCCAGTCACGGGGTTTCAGCTGAGCCTCCATCCAGGCACCAGGGATGAGTCCAGTGGCCGCCTCTGTCCTCTTCAGTCATGTTCATCGGCCCTTCCAGCTGGGCAGAGCGGGATAGCTACAGCACCCTGGGATGTGGGCCTTCTGGACCTCTGGCAGTGCAGGCTATGGAGCGCCATGGGCCTACAGGCCTTGAGGAAGGAAGAGGGGCCGCCCTTTGCCAGAAGGTCTCCAGCTGCCAGAGGGTTGGGGTCCATGAAGGGGCCCCAGGGAAAGACTAACCAGCATTCGCCACCCAGTTCCTGGGGGCCTTGGATTGGATCAACTGCAGGCTCCCTGCGGCTGCCCCTTCCTTTCAGATTGCTTAGCTTTGATACTGAATTTGATGGGCACAGTCATTCACAGTGGGCCACAGAAGAGCCACAACAGCACTGGTGGCACGTGGCCATCTGTTGGAATGGTTGGCCCTTGGACAGGATAGGAAAGGGCCGCCTTGTGGGGAAGGAGTTGGGAGTGCTTACTGCTTGTCCTTTCCTTAGGCTTCCTCCCACAATCATCTGAATCTTAGTCAAATAAAGCATTTTCAGAACAGCAGGTGGGTGGTTGTCATCTGACTCTTGTTTGCCTGAGTAGTTCCTGCAGGACTGCTCTGAGCTTAGGCCGGCCCCTCCCCACACAAGCCATCCACCTGCCCTTCATCTGTCCCTCAGCCCAGGGGCATCCATGCGATTGGAGGATGAAGTCTGAGGACAGAAGGAAGCAAACCCCTCAGAAAATCAGCAGCGTGGTTGTGTGAATGGACCTCTGGTCTTGCTGCCTCCTTCGTACCATGTCAGAAGACAAGGGCCATCTTTGAGAACAGTGACCAGTTGACCACAGTGGCCAACGACTTGGAAATGCTCCCTTGTACTCAGAGTAGTGAGCCCAGGTTAATGCTGGCCATCAGCTAGGGCAGCATGCAGACCTGGATCCCGTGATGGTGGTGGTGGTACCGGTGATTCAGTCGCCCGTCTTGACAGTGGTCAAAACACAGCAAGGAAGAGGGCTGTTGCCACTGACCCCAACTGAGTCTTGTGGTTAGCTGTGGTCTCCACTATTGCATCAGGGTTAGGGTTACCATCCATAATGTTAGGCACCAGGCCGAGGTACCACAACCCGGATCGCCCCAAAAATTTGTGGTGTGATTGCCATGCCATAGACAGTGGAGAATGGGGCAAAGACATTGCTGGCCTGGAAGTCCATGAGAAGGGTAGGAAGCTGGACTTCAGCTCCCAAAAGTTTCCTAGACCATTATGTTAGAGACACATTTTTGAGTGTTTGGAAAAATGTCAAGGTTGGACTGGCCAAAGAGGGCCCTGTCATCAGCATGACAGATGTGGATTTCAGTACGGTATTTGATCACGGCTCTCAAGATAACCGTGTGGATAGAGCTAGCAAAAGGAACCAGACTACCGTGATTTCTTAGGTCCAAGCTGCTTCAATGGCCAGGCCTGAAGATCCAGGGCTCATCTGTGGAGATCAGCCCAGAATCTCCAGTAAAGTGTCCCCAGGCCCTGTCCTTGGCCCTCCCCAGGTCCAGGTTTTTTTTATCAGCAGTTTGAATCAAGGCATTGAATGGTGTGTTTTACAGTGGAGGGTCTCAAACTTTTTGGACTAAGGCCCGCGTTACAAAATTATCAAAGATCCCAAAGAGCTATTGTTTGTGTGGGCTGCATTTGTTGATAGTTACCGTATTAGGAATTAAAATCAATAAAATTTAAAAATATTCATGTTAAAATATAAATCTGTTACCTGTTAACAAATAATTCTAATTTAAAACAATATTTCCTCCCAGAATAATGAGGAGGTATTGTTTCACTCATTTGCAAATCCTACTATGTCTGGCTTCATCAAAGACAGATTCTCATTTTTGTCTTCTGCTGCAATTCAAACTGCTGCAATATCTTATTTTGGCTGGATGATACGAAGAGAGGCCAGCCTTACCTAGAGGGTGAGAAAGGGGAGAAGTAGATCTGTCAGATTGTGGCTTCCTAGGATCAGGTGCTGTGCATGGCATCATCCCGTGTTGTGTTAAAATCTATTGGTGTCACTTTGAAAGGATCCTTTACACCACATGTAATAATTTGGTAATTTCTTGCCTTGTTCGTTGGGAAAATGTGGGTTTGCTGAGTTACATAGATCTTTCAAATGTTGACACATTTCGTTATACAATGACAAAAAAAAAGAAAAAATCACATTTGTTAATATGAACACAGAATCAGAACCATCTTTCATGTTTGCGACTATGTCAGGTACACAGTGGTAGGTACTGGTTTGCCAAGTTCTGATTTTCATTTGAAAGCTCAGTTTTTATCACTGGTCACAAATATGGTCAGTTGTTTTCCCTGAAGTGACAGACTCACTCGGTTCATTTTTTAGAAGATTTCTGCCAAACACCTGAGACTGAACAAACGGTTCGTTGGTCACTCTTTCAGAAAGAAATGGTGTCCCATGGAAAAAGCAGCCAGTCTAGCTTGCTTGGTGAGGCGTCTCCCACGCCATCCTGCAGACAGTGAGAAGATGTGTCCTGAAGTCAAGGCTTCCTGGAGTTCATTACTTCCAGCACCTAATGACGTTCTTAGGTAGAGCTGGGACTTGGGGTTTTTCCTGGGAGTGCACTTGGCGCCCCTGCCTTGACTGGCGGGAAGGCAGCCCTGGCGGCTTTGTTCCCCATCAGGACTGGTGTCAGCCTCACGGCTCCAAGATAATCCAGAAGATTCAGGGGAGTTATTCAGCACTTTGAATATTTCCACTCCCCTTGTGTCTGTTGGGCACATCTGGAGATGCGTCCATTTGCAAGGCCAAAGTACCCTTCTGCAAATGAGATGCCTGCTCTTCATGTCTACAGCCTAGTCATTCATTCCGAGGTCATGTAGCCTCTGAGAGAATGGGGGCTGAAAGGGTAAATGGGGTCTTAGTCTGAGGTCCATGGGCCGCACTTTGAGATGCCTGTCTTTTTTTTAATTTTATTTTGGTTAGGCAATGGGGTTTTGTGGCTTGCCCAGGGTCACGCAGCTATTAAGTGTTATGTGTCTGAGGCCGGATTTGAGGTCAAGTCCTCCTGAATCCAGGGCCGGTGCTCTTTCCACTGCGCCACCTAGCTGCCGCATAAGATCCCTGTCTTAACATAGTTCTGGATGACAAATGGAAGCTAAACATTCTCAGGGCCTGGAATAATGGGGTTAAGTCGAAGACAACAAAATGTTATAGAAATAAGTGTAATTTCCTACACCTGGGTAGGAAATCAGTTTCACATGCACAGAGCAGGGCTTGGTAGTTGTCACTAAATAGCAGTTCATGGGGAAGAAGATCTGGGGAGGCGGGGCATTAGTGAATCACAAGCTTTCTAGGAGTCTACAGTGTATCATATGGTGCTGTGGGATTTTAGGCTTCACTAACAGAGGCAAAAGGCTGGGAACTCTGTCCTCTACTCAGACCCCATCTAGCGTATGGCATTCTGTTCCAGCTTCCCTCCACATTTTAGGAGGGACATAGACAAAAATAAATACATCATATTCATAGAACGTTTCTGACAGCTCTGTGAAGCAGGAAGTAGTATAAGTACTATTTCTCTTTCCCTCCTTCCCTTCCTCTTTCTCTTCCTCCCTTTCCCATCTCCTCTCCTACTCCCTCTTTCCTCTCTCTCTCTCTTCCTCCCCCCTGTCTTTGTGTCTCTGTGTCTGTCTTTCTCCCTCTCTCTGTTTCTCCCATCTCTCTCCTCCCTCCTCTCTTTTCTCTTCCCATCTCTCTGTTTCTCTTCTCTGTGCCTGTATGTCTGTCTCTCTGTCTCTCCCCATCCCTCTCTGTCTCTGAGTCTGTCTGTCTCTCTGTCTCAGCTGGTAACTACATCTCTCCATTTCTGCTCCACCCTGAGCTGGGGGAGGTGTGGGTTCCATCCTGGCAGAGCCATCACCACCGCCTGCTCTCTGGTGGAGGGGTTCACTTCAACCTGTGTTGGATATAGAGCTCCAACTTTATGCAAAGCTGCAAGGGGCAAAAGGCCTGGAGAATTCTCTGGGTAATCTGCACACCCCCCCCCCCAGGCAAAAATCAATTCTAGAGTAATGGAGAAGGTGATTTGATAGGACAGTGACCCTACAAGGGCTGCCTCACCAGTGCAGATCATGGGAATAACCAGAAGGGATGGGACTGCCTGGGGTCCCACAAATAGGCTGGGTCAGAGGTCAGGCAGGAGCCCAGGTCTTTGGGCATTCTCCACCCTCTCTCTGCCATAGTCTCTGCTGTGCTCTAGGAAGAGACCACCAGAGGAGGACACTGAGGCTTGAGAGATGGAGACACACAACCAGTAGCATGAGATTGGCGGTCAGGTGCCCATCGCCATCTAGTGAGGCCCTTGACAATGCTTTCCAAATATTATCATCACGTTTCAATGAAGGACCAGGTGTTTTAATGCTCTACACAATAATACTGTGTGTGTTGTGGACATCAGATAATCAAGGAAAATGAACATGGCATGATTTCGGTGGATGCCAGGACCAGGGTGTGCACCCTCATTGTCTTCCTGTTGCCTCTAAGATAAATGACCAAGTCTCTGCCTGACATTTTTTGTTGTTCAGTCATTTTTTAGTCGTATCTGTCTCTGTGGCCCCATTTGGGGTTTTCTTAGCAAAGATACTGTAGTGGTTTGCCATTTCCTTCTCCAGTTCATTTTACAGTTTACAGACAGTTCATTTTACTGAGGCAAACAGGGTGAAGTGACTTGCCTGAGGGTCACCCAGCCAGTGTCTGAGGCTGGATTTGAACTCAGGAAGATGGGTCTTCCTGACTCCAGGCCTGGCACTCTAACCACTGAGCAACCTAACATTAAAGGTCTCCCTCATCTGGCTCCCTCCTCTTTCCAGGGCTCTGAACTGGCCTGCAAACCATTCCCCCATGCTGGCCTCCCTCCTCCTCCTAGCTGCCAGCCCCCTTTCAGGAAGTCTTTGTCTGGTGCCACTGCCCGTGCAGCCCTCCTGGTGTGGTCACTCTCTCCCCCTCAGACTGATATGCTTCGCCACTCCTATTTCCAGGGAGCTTCCCCTGGCAGAGTGTAAGCTTCTTCAGGGTAGGAACATATTCTTTTTTTTTTTTTTTGGCTAGGCAATGGGGTTAAGTGACTTGCCCAGGGTCACACAGCTAGTAGGTATTATGTATCTGAGGCCGGATTTGAACTCAGGTCCTCCTGAATCCAGGGCCAGTGCTCTAATCCACTGTGCCACCTAGCTGCCCCAGCAGGGCCATATTCTTGTCTGGCACAGCCTGGTGCTAGGCTCAAGGTGCCTCCTCCCTGTTCCCTGGGCAGCCAGGTTCTGTGTCTCTTGGCAGTCAGCCCCCACACAAACCCATTTGGAAGACTTCAAGAAAAGTCCCCCAAAGTATTATCAACAGGGTGCCGAGAACAAGCTTACCATGGGGCCTGTCGGCTCCTGTTAGGCCTGCCCCTCCTGCATGAGCCTGTGTGGCACGGTGCTGCTTGTGCCCAGAGCTTCCCTACCACCACCACCAAGGAATGCTCAGAAAGGCCGTGGAAGATGGTTCCCCATGAAGAGGATCTCCTCTCCCCACCAGTTCCCCTCTATGCAAGCAGAGACACGTCTGGTGGTGGACCTTGGAGAGCCACAGGGATACTGCCTGCACTCAGAGTGCCTGTGCCTCTGGTCAGACTGCCTCTACCTTCTCCCTGAGCCCAGGTGAAAGATCCCTAGCTAGGAGGAAGGCCGCCTAACAGTGTGGGTTCATGGGAGAATGGGAGGGGCCACATAACTTTGTACAGGTAACCCACTTTTTGGTCTGCTCTTGTGACTCCATTGATGTCAGGAGCCCTCCACCAGCACAGATGGCACCTCCTGTGTGCCTGGGGCCCAGAGTGATGAAGTCCTTCCAACTCCTGAGCTGGCTCTCCATTGGCCACCATGATGCCTCCCCAGGTGACGTGTTCCTATGAGTTACTTGTCAATCAGACACTTGTAACTGAACTAGGAGAGGTCATCATTCCAGACCACCAACAATCATTTGACAGCACAAAGGGTTGTCTTCATCTTCAGCTGCTGAGAGACTTTGGGTGTCCAGGGAATGCATCCTCTCCGAGGGGGCCCTGCCCAGGATGTCTGAAGCTCACCGCAGATGCAGTGATGGCCAGATCTGCCCAGGAGGCCATCGGCCCACTCTTTCTTCATAGCCCAAGCTCTTGGGTTGGTGAACCCAAACTGTGGAGTCATTTTTAGCAATACCTCTATTTGAGATTCTCCTCCTCCAAGCTGCTTCCAGTCCTTGAAACCTAAAAGCCCTGCCCAGAGAAGGGACACATGTTCAACCCAACAAAGTGTTTCCTACGTGGCTAGTTGGGACACGCCAGGCGTGTGCATACTGGGAGACAGTAAGAGGAAGCAGGTCCTGGCGCCCTCCCAGGGATGGCCAGAAGAGCCCATCAGAGGTCCTTAGGGGAGGGGAGGACCTGTAGGAATGCCCCGGGGGTGTGACAGGGAGAAAGGGGAATGAGGCTGGCAGGGAGTGGGAGCCAAATGGTGCCACAGAATGTGGCCAAGTGTGGGAGGACTCAGTTCTTGTTTAGACCACTGTGAGGGGAGTGACCAAACACAGGGAGAGAAGCCATCTAGGAGACTTCTAATAGACCAGGTCAGATGGAAGAGCAGGTATGGTGAAGCCTGGAAAATCCGGATTCTGGTTGGAGACAGTCTTTTTCCAGATGAGGAAACTGAAGCCTAGTGCTTGGAAGGGATTTGCCCAGAGTCACATGGCCCCTCCGGCCACCTGCCTGGGTGAGTCACACTGACTCTCTCCCCTCCTCCACCCCCAGGCTGTACCACTAACAGCTGGTGGGACAGCGGAAAGTCCTTGGTGCCATCTCTTGGTGCTTCAGTTTGCCTTTTTGTAATTTCAGGAAAACTGCTCCTGAGTTAGGATGTGCACAATAGCGGACAATGTCTGTTGCCCAGAAATGGCGTGTGGCCTTGGCCCTGTTACCCCTTTACTAAATGCTATGCAAGGGACGAGTTAATTGATATTGGAATGAGAGCCACAGGTCAGCCATAAATACTTTTATTGAGTTTGGAAAGAGTCAAGCTGAGCAGGCCTCAGGCTGGCACCTAAGGGCTGTCCACGGCCCTCCGGAAGGAGCCCAGCACTGCAGCACCAGCGCCCCATTCGCTGTGCCGCCGGTACTCTCCAGGCCGCAGGAAGTACTGGCGGCCCTGGTAGTTGGGCTGCTCGTAGAGGACCCAGTACCCATCCAGGACGTTACAAGACAGGACGTCCCTCTGGTGGAAGTGGTCATGGATGGAGGGACAGTCCTCAGTGAACTCCATCATCTGCCCCGCACAGTTCTCCCTCTCATAGATCCGCATGCGGTAGGAGCCTTCATGCTACAAGGGAAGAAACCGGGGAGTTGGGGGAGGCCTTGAGCTGGGGGTCACAATGGGGGCCTGGGATCAAGGCCCCTCCTTCCAGAAGGACCACCCAGAGCACATAGGATGCCCACAGGTCTGGGCATCCTTTCTGGAGATGCCGGCCAACCCCCTTCCTTACTAGACTCTGCCCCAGGAGGGCCGAGGGGCTCCCAAGAACTCACCCTGGGCACCAGACGGCAGGAGCGGATGGAGTCGCTTGTGCCCATCCACTGGCGATAGTCTGAGTACTCGCCACGCCTCAGGAAGTACTGGCAGCCTTTATAGCTGGGCTGCTCATACAGGACCCAGGAGCCACTGTCCACACGCACTGAGTTGCAGCGGCTGAAGTAAGCCTGTAGGTCGGCACAGTCACCGCTACATTCATAGCAGCGGCCCTGGAAATGGCGGTCCTCATAAAAGGTTATCTGGGGAAAGACAGCAGGGTCAGGGCCCCAGCTGGGTGCTGCCTCCATCCCTCGCCCTGGCCCTCTACCCCATGCCACAGAGCTGTGAGCCAGGACCAGAGCAACTGTAAGGAACCTCTGAACTCTCCGATACTTTCATTTTATACCAAGGGAAACTGAGGCCCTGAGAGATTAAGTGATAGCCAGGCCATTCTTCCTGTTTTCTCCATGACTCCCTGCAGCCTAAATGTGATCCATTGTTTGGTGTCTGAGGCTCGGGCTGGGCCATGGAAGGCCATGTGTGGGCTGTTTTCCTGACCATCCTGTTAGACTAGGGCTACCCAGCCAGCCCCTGGGCCTCCACTGGAAGGCTGAGACAGAGCTCAACCTCTCCCTCCTTTCCTCCATCACAGCTGTCCATGCCACACTGGTTACCTTGCCCTGAGCAGCCGGGTGCCCCCAGGCCTCCCCTCTGCTGTCTACCTGGGCCACACTAGTTACCATGCCCTAAGCAGCTGTGTCGCCTCCCCTCTCCCATCTGCCCGGGCCACACTGGTTACCTTGACCTGAGCAGCTGGATACCCTCCCCTCTCCCACCTACACGGGCCACATTGGTTACCTTGCCCATATTGCAGGAGTGCTTGGGGCAGAAGCAGGTGGCCCCAACTGCCTGGGCCACCCTTCTTTATAGCCCCACTCCACCCCCAACACTCTAGGTCAGCACCCTTTCAATGGGGGATTTGCAACAGCCCCGAGTCAGCAGTCAATAGCCCACGCCCCTTGGGGGCCTTGCTGAGCCTGGCACTTCCTTTGTGTGGGGAGGGTTGGGACCCCCCATAGGAATGATTTTATACACCGAGCATTTTACTTTGGGTAAGCCAAAGCCTTTTCATTGCTGGATGACTGAGTTGAAATGACCTGGAACAGAGACTTTCAGAAAGAATCCAGTCAAGCTACTCACTCCCCCAGGCCCCCACTTCCCCCACCCTGTGAGACTCTCTGGCCCCAGCCCACATGGCCTGAGAGCAGGGCCCCCTCAGAGACCTTTCTCCTGCCCCATTGCCATTGGAAGGCCTCTGGTCCATGCATCAGAGGCGGACAAAGGGAGGGGACACCCACCAGTCTGCCCTTGGCCCTCATGATGACCCCATATGTCCCTATCACCTAACCCTGGCCACATCTGGGGGCATTCTGCCAGCCCTGAATCCCCCACCCTGCTACAGCATTGTCCACTTTCCCTGCTCCCCATCCCCTGCCCCCAGGACATCCCTTTACCATCTTCTCATCAGCTTCTTACCCTCCTACCTCCCTCATCCTCAAAAAACCCTCACTTGAGCCTTCCCTCCCCTCTAATTCTCCTCCTACATCTATCTCCACTGCCCTATGTAGCCAAACCCCAAAAGGCTTTTTAGTGGTATCTTTATTTGAGGCTGCTCCATAAGGGCTTTCACTTCTCTCTCACTCTCTTCCTAATCCAGTCTAGCTTCCAACCTCATTGTTCCACTGAAAGTGAGCAGTGAGCTTTTAGTGACCTTTTCTCAGTCTTTTTTCTCCTTGACATCTCTGCAGCCTTGGACACTGGGGGGCACTCTTCTCCTGGACACTATCATCCTTCTAGGTCTTTCGGATGCTCTCTCCTGGTTCTCCTCCTCCCTCTGCTCCTTCTCTGTGTCCTTTGCTGGATCCTTCTCCAGGTCATGCCCCTAACCATGGGTGTCCCTCAGGGATCTGTCCTGGGCTCTCTTCTCTTCTGTTCTCCCTCTATCCTACTTCCCTTGGGGATCTCATCAGCTCCCATGGATTTAATGACCATCTCTATTCAGATGATTCTCAAATCTACCTTTCCTGCCCCAAACTCTCTGCCAATCTCCAGTCTCACCTCTCCAACTGCCCTTCAGCATGTCCAAAAGAGAACTCGTCTTTCTCCCTAAACCCTCCCCCTTGCATCTCCCATCTTCTGCATAGTGATTATAGGGGGCAGTGACCTCCTCACAGGCCCTCAGACCCATGACCTAGGAGTCATCCTGGAATCCTCTGTCACTCTCTATATCCAATATGGTGGCAAGGCCTGTGGATTTCACCTCTGCAGCACCTCTGGTCCATTTCACCTCTGCAGCATTTCTTTAATTTGCCCCCTTCTCTCCTCTGACACTGACCCCACCTGGTACAGACCCTCATCACCTCAACCCTGGACCATTACAATAACTGCTGGGGCAGGAAGGTTGCTTACCTCATCTCCACTCCAATCCATCCTCCATTCAGTCACCAAAGTGATTTTTTTTTTCTGGGGCAGCTAGATGGTGCAGTGGATAGAGCACTGGCCTTGGATTCAGGAAGACCTGAGTTCAAATCTGGCCTCAGACACTTGACACACTCACCAGCTGTGTGACCTTGGGCAAGTCACTTCAGCGCATTGCCTCACCCCCCCGCCAAAAAAAAAATGATTTTTCTGAAGCCCAGGTCCAACCATGTCATCCCCTTACTCAATAAGCTCCAGGGGCTCCCTACAACTCCAGCATCAAATAGAAGATGCTGTTTGGCATTCAAAGCACTTCGTAACCTAGGCCCCTCCTCCCTTTCCAGCCTTCTTATACCTTACTTGCTGATGCTTATCGATCCAGTGCCCCTGGCCTCCTGGCTGTGCCCATCTCTTAGCTCTGGGCATTTTCTCTGGTATCCCCCAGGCCTGGAATCCTCTCCCTCCTTCACTCTAACTGCTGACCTCCTGGCTTCCTTGAAGTCCAAACTGAAATCCCGCCTCCTACAAGAAGCCTTCCCCAGTTTCCCGTTTATCCTGTATAGAACTTGCTTTGTACATATTTGCACATTGTCCCCTCTATTAGTGTGAGCTCTGAAGGCAGGAGCCTTTTGCCTTTTTGTATCCCCAGCACTGAGCACAGTGCCTGGCACACAGTAGGTACTTCATGTTTACAGACTGGAGAACTGAAAAACCTGACTCTGAACCAGTGTGTGGCATGCTTGAGGGCAGAATGGAGGGGGTGGTGCCAAGGGGCCCATTTAGGCTGGATCCAAGCAAACAAGAGCTACCCACAAGTGGAAGTGAGCTTCCCATTACCAGAAGTATTCAACAATGGCCAGATAAGTAGAGGAGCTTTCTGTTCAGTTAGCACCAAGATCCTGGGACCCCCACAGCTCCCTCCTCAGGCGCCCCCTCCTCCACTGAGCTCCTCTCCTGCTCCACCCATCCCTTCTCTGTGCTCCTAACCCTCTAGGGTCCCAGTCCTCCTTCCCCTTCCCGCCTCCCGCAGAAGACTAGCCAGGACTGCAGGAAGTGTAAACAAGGGACATGAAGTCAGAGCTGAGGCCTGGCGGGAGGTAGATTTGACAGGACACATGGATTGATGGGAGGAAGGCAATTGCACAACCCCAGGGTTTTGAGCCTAGGCTCCAGGGAGAAGGGATGGGGAAGGCAGGTTTGGTAATTCTGAAACCATAATTCACTCTACACCCCACTGGCAGCTGCCACCCAGCCGGCTGTCGGGGATCTGTGTGGCCTCAGGACCTGCCCAGATGCCCGCACAGCCAATGTCTGGCTGTTGCCAAGGGGCCTCGGCCTCTGGAGGGGGCAGCAGCAGGCAGGGCTGCCTGTCCAGCCCAGTGGTGCTGTCTCTGGGCCTCTCCTGACACCCCCACTTCCGGGCTCAGCCAGGACAGCCTCCCCAAGGTCCCCTCCTTTGGTCCCATTTGGCACAAGAGCCTCAGCCACACCACAGCTCGCTCATCAATAGGTTTTTAATCTAACACAGACATAGCATGATCACAGTAGGAATGTTTGCACAGCTCGAGGTCCTGGCTCTAGGCGGCCAGCTCCTGCTGAAGTGACAGAGCCCCATGCCCACCCCAACTCCAGCAGGTGCCAGTGTTCTCTAATGCCTGGGAGAGAAGGGTGCTTCTCCCCCACACTGGCATGGACAACAGGTCTGGGGAGAAGCAGTGTGGACAAAGGCCGGGCCTTTCCTCGGCTGAGTGACATGGGGAACTTCACTTTGTCCTCCATCCTAGCAGCTCTGGGAAACAACTCTAAGACCAGACGATTCCACGATTCCACCACACGCCGCAGTTTACCTATCTGTCAAATGAGGTGCTCAGCCATCAGGGTCTCTAAGGTCCCTTCCAGCTTCAATGAAAGGTCACTCCCCCACTCTTAGCTTCAGTTTCCCCAACTACATAATGACGAACTTGGCTTCTGAGTCTATGCTACCCGAACTACACAGAGTGCCTGGTTTTGGTCTGGTACATTTTCTTCAAATGCTAAGATGCGAAGGACTGGAGACAGTAGATGGTGACACCACCCTGCCTTTCATGTAGCAAGGAAGTGACATGCCCAAGGGGTCGTGTCTACACACTACGCTGCCTCCAGACAGTGCACCCACAGCGGAGCTAGTGAGGAAGGCAGGGGGGAAGGGGAGGCTGGGGCTAACACCGCCACTCAGAAGCCCTTCTCAATGCTCAGGGTGCGGCGGGTCACATGCTCCATCTTCCCAGAGACGTATTCAGTCAGGCTGATCTGGTAGTTGGCCAGCATCTTGAGCATGAGCCGTAGGTCCAACCACCACTGGTCTTGGGGCATGCGGTGCCTGTGGCGGGCAGAGAAGAGAGGGAGTGGCCTCAGCGCCTGGTGGGGTCCCCTCTCCCCCGGCTCTGACCTTCTCCAGTGGGGTGCCCTTTGGAGGGCCTTGGCCCCAAGACCACGCCCTGTCCTGGAGCTCAGCAGCCCATCCGCCAAGCTTCCTCAGACCCTTTCCACTTGTCACCGGCCCTCCTCCTGTTGCCTGGCCCCACCTGAAGGCAGTAAGGGCAAGAAAAGAGCCCCCACCCCCATTACCATAAAAGGACATGTCTGTGTGGCTGATGAACGCAGCCTGGAGGGGACCTAGGCTGAGGAGGCCAGTGTGGAGACAGGAGGGGCAGGGAAGGGTGGGCAGCACTTCAGTGCTGGGGACAGGGCCTAGAAGGGAGCTTTCTCTCCCCTCCCTCTTGGGCGGGGCAGCAGGAGCTGCCTAGGCTTTGCGGTCAAAAGGGTTGTCTTGCTAACCCTCTGGGTTAGCGATCAAGCCAGACTCACTCAAAATCCGTGATCTTCTTGAGTTCAGTGACTGGGCTGAAAGCCACCACCTTCTTCCTTAGGCCAATCACACAGGCCGAGTCTGTAGCGTTGGCAAAAACCCGCCCTGGAGGGAGAAGCACAGAATAAAAGGCAGGAAGGGGAAGGAGGAGAGAGGGTGACAGATAGGGGAAAAGAATGGGGAGGGAGAGAAGGAAGGGGGAAGGGAGGAGAGAGGACAGAGGGAGGAGGGAAGGAAAGGGCAAATGTGCCATGTCCTGGCTGGGCGGGGGAAGTGGACTCCTGATCCCTCGAGGAGTGTG